ATGATCCGGACGGACCCTTTACCTTGCTGACTTTATTTCCTTTCCCTTTCCCTCACTCTACTGCAGCCATTTCCCATCCTGTATGTATGCCTGTGGTCTGCCTTAGGGTGTCACTGCATTATCATCCAACTTGCAGTGACACAGAGATAAGGCTTTAGGGATATTATACAACTCAGTAGAAAAATGTGAGTTTCTTTTCTTTAGTCGTGATGAAGTGAAACAGTCTCTTTTCCTCTTCCAGGTGGAGGGAAAGGGAGATGAGCATTTCTAGGAAGTGAACAAAGGCAGAGAGTGATGAGCTTCGTGTGTTCATGAAACTGTGAGGAAACCACATGAGCATAATAAGCTGCACATAAATCAGGCAGACAGGTCAGATCGCTTAGGCCTGGAAAGCTGGGCAGAGGAGTGGAATTTGAAGACAATAAGTGATTAGGAAGCAGGGCTGAAAAGCAACATGATAAAAACTTGTACTTAAGAGGATAAAGAATAATACTGGCTTCTAGTGAGTAGACAGGAATGCTGCTAAAACATCCTACAATGTGCACAACAACAAAGAATTTTCCAGAGTGGCAGTGGAATGGAGAGATAAGAATGTTTCACAGGAAAAATGACTTGTTGACTTGGTGAATCATTGCATATATAAAAGGCAAAGAAGGTGGGTAAAAATTGAGCGTCATTCTAAGCCTGAGTAACTGATAAAAGTGGTGGTAGAAAACTAATCTGAACAGGAGAAAGTATGTTAGTTTGAAGTAAAGTCATGACCTCAAAATGTTGAGTATGTATTGTCACATTTTCTACAAATGTATTGAGCAGAATTGATCTTAATATACACAATAAAAAAATTTGAATTAACTATACCATAGCCTTATCCCCAGCTGAATAATTAAAGAACCAGACCTTGATGTGGGGTTCTGAAGGTGAAGGCAAGAAACTGTCACCAATTTGGAGTCCTTTTTAAAAATGTCTAGGTTGGGGAGAGGGTAGTGCTTTTAATAACTGTATCTTTTTAAAGTAAGAATGATTTAAAATCACTTTCTTTTACAATTGTTTTCCAAATCGAGTGAGATATATTCTTCATGTATATACACATACACACACATATAAAGTAATTGGTGTGTGTGTGTGTGTGTGTGAATTCATATACATATGAATCTCTTTTTTTCTCATTCCATTTACTAGCATCTCAGTAAATACACTTTGCATCCTTAGCTGTTGCCTATCATGATGACTCTTTGGCATTATGGTCTTGAAATATTTTCTTGGTTCCTGAAGGAAAGATGAAGTTATATTCAGTATATTTAGTTTTGCTTATTCAGTATTACAGAATCTTGGAGATGGAGGAGGTATACTTCATTTAGTCTAATGAGTCATTCGGTGTTTGATTCCCTCTCCACACACACCCCTGTGTCAGTTTCTAGGGCTGCTGTAACAAATTATCACAGACTTGGTGGCTTCAAACAACATAAAGTTATTCTCTCATAGTTCTGGAGGCCTGAATTCCAAAATTAAGATGTCAGCAGGGTCACACTTCCTCCAGAGGCTCTCTGGGAGAATCTTTCCTTGCCTTTTCCAGCCTCTAATGGTTCTAGGTATTCCTTGGCTTGTGGCTAAGTAACTAATTTCCGTCTCCATCTTCACATGACCTTCTCCTCTGTGTCTCCCTTATACAGACATGTATTGGATTTGGGCCCACCCGGATAATTGAGGATGATCTCTTCTTAGGATCCTTAACTTAATTGCAACCCTTTTTCCAAAAAAGATCACATTCACAGAATTTGGATCTGGACATAACCTTTTGGGGGCCACCATTCCGCCTATTACGCCCCCTGCATATATGTCCACTCTTTGTTGTTCAGCTTCTGATTGGCTGCCTCTACCCAGGATCTTTTGGATTTTGACTAACTCTGGGGTGAAATCAATTTTCCTGTAACTTTCATCATTAGCTTCGGTTCTCCCTGTTTGACACCATGGGAACAAAAACAATTATTTTTCTCTCTGGAAGTCCTTCATCTGTTTTCTGAGACTTCTGTACTCCAGACTAAACATCTCTGGTTCTTTCAGCCATTTCTCTCAGAACCACAGCTCCCATTCTTCTAGTGATCTTGGTTGTGCTGCTTCTCTAAAGCACTCAGAGGTGATAGAAAGAATACTGAATTTATAATTGAAGACCTAATACTCCAGTCATGTCTCTTCCACTGAGTAGGTGATCAGGGCAAATCAGTTTCTTTAACAAAAACTCTGGACCACTCTACTTCACTTCATGCTTTTTATAGTCAAATGAGATTATTATAAAACCTATAATAAACATAACCTATAAGAAGTTCCCAGTTGTTTATCTATATGCTTATAAAAAAAATTAACTCCCAGAACTGAGCATAAATCTCTCAGTATAGTCTGACCCAGTACAAAGTAGTTGCCAGTAACATGTTTCCTGATTATCTGCTCTGTTTCTGTTAATACAGCCTGGGATCACAATAGCTTTGTGATAGTCATGTCATAATTCTTTATTCATACTGAAATTAACTATGTACTCAAGAGCTCCAAATCATCTTCACACATAATCTATTTATTGCTTTTATATTCATTGATATGTACCATGTAGAGTTAGTGAACTTTTCAAACAGTTTGGAAATTTAATTTAAAATGAATTTAATATCAATCATTTTAATTGCCTTTTCTGTAAGAGTTTTAAAATAGGGAATATATGGTTCTTCCTCCAGTTATTTAATGTAATACTCCGCTTTAATGAATCCTATTTGTGGAGCTAAGGACATTTTTCTCGTTGTACTTGAATGACCACGATTCTTATCTAAACCTTCTACAGTTTGCTAATGTGATTCTCTATCTATATTGAATTATGATGCCTTTGATTTGTATCTTATGTCCTGATGGTAATAGGTTTTACCCTTTAAAATGGATTTCATTTTTCTAGATTGCCTAATAGATCTGTAGATCCATGTACTTTTGCAAAGTGAGATGCATGTATAATAGTTATACGCTGTTATATTGTTGAGTTGAAGTGGACCCTTAAGAATTTGAAAGCAATATAAGATATGAATTCTGTCCTAATGTTTGATCTGTCTTAAAATTGTCCTATTTGAACCTTTGGCTTTAATCACTCTTCAGATTTGTTTTAATGTTAAGCACACACCTTGTGACTTTTTCTATGAAGAAGTCCTGATGAAGTAATAAAGTCCATGTTGTGATATCCATTTTTCAGGAATTTAGAGACTTGGCTTTCAGTGTGCTTATTTCAATGTACTCTTCTAACATTTAAAACTGTTTCTGTATTGGTAACTTGAAAGTGGAGATACATGTGGGATTGAGAGCTGTGCAGTCTACATGTGATGGTTTATAGAATAACAACTACATAATACAGAGTTTTAGGGCTCTACTAGATTCCTTCCCGAGGGCCGCCATGCTATTATGTCTTTGCAATCAGGTAGTTCCTTTGCAAGCTACCTCATACAAATTTGGATGATTCCCAAACACCCTGGGAAAGCCTAGTATTGTGCTTTGCTTATCCTGAATTTGCTGTTATTTTTATGTATCTCAATTGAGGGCCATACCACATGGCCTAGTTTATTTTTTGCTGCTTCAGTTAAATACAAAGCTGTATCTTCTTGATGGATGTATGAAGCATTTGGTGTTCCTTAGTAGAGAATAAAGAAAGTTCATGATCTTGCTCAAACTCCAGTGCCTGTAATTTTATAGCGCAATGAATTTACCTTTCGGCAACTATATATAATCAACAGCTTTCAAGAGTTTAATATAAAGGTTTTTAATTATTTCCTTTATTTTATTTTTCCTGGAGAACAATATCCACCAAACTGTATGGAGTGTATCTTTTCCTCGGGCAATTGAAATTAAGAATATCCACTAATTGTCACCTTCCATTCATTTCAATAGGATTATTTTATTTTTGAGATAATCGTATATTGCAAAACTAAGGAAGGTGAAGTTTTCTTCTTGGTCGTATCTGAATTGTGATTGATCTGTGTTTGTATGTTTATGTCAGAGGATAGAAATGTATGCTTAGTCTTGAGAATGGGGAAAATATGGGTAGAATATAACCTTTTTTTCTTCATTTGCAGGGATAGGAAAAAGGTAACAGTGAGGGAAACTTTAACTCATCATCTTGGTAGATCCACAAATCTCATGCCTTTGTTAATTCAGTGAGTCAGGTTAAAATGGAAAGTCTTATGAGAGCTCTGTGGCATGACATTGCCTTGGAGGAATAACATCCAAATAGCCACCCCTGTGGATGTGAGTGAATTTTGGATGAATTTTCACTCATTAGTACTGTTGATTTGACTGGCCACCTTGAAAGAAACAGAAATCTTATATGTTACTTTCAAGTCTGATTTTTTTTTCCCCTTAATCTTCTTTTCTATTTAATAGAAGTTAAGATGTCAGGCCCAAAGTATTAGAGGAAAAAGCTTTTTAGGATCTTAATTTTAGGGTGGTAAACTTATGATACGTAAATATGAAACATAGCAGCCTCAACTCCTTGGGCTTGGTGGGTCACTTTTTTATGTATTAGTCCCTTGTTGCATGACCTACTCAATTTTTTGGAAAGTTATTTATTTATTTGAGAGACAGAGAAAGAGAGCACATGTGTGTGGGGGGAGGGAGAGGGGCAGAGGAAAGGGAGAGAAAGAATCCCTAACAGACTCCCCGCTAAGCACATAGAGCCCATTGCAGGGCTCAGATTCACGACCCTGAGATCATGACCTGGGCCGAAACTGAGAGTCCAATGGACACTCAACCAACTGAGCCACCTCAATTATTTTTTTTTTTTGAAACAAAGCAACTGTTGATCTGATTTGACCAATTATGAAGATATTAAGATAATAGGTTGCAGTGACTATAACCAAGTGGTTTAGTCCAAGTCTCCAGATATTTTGCTGTATTCAAGGAACTTCTATCTTTGTCAACAACTTGGAGGTTGTTTTAGTCAAGCTTTGGAAAATTTCTGATCCTACTTAATTTTTTTTTAGGTTTCCATTATATCCAAAAGGAGGGGAGAAGTTACAATTCGATTATGGTGTCTATCTTCTGAACAAAAATATAGCACAGGTAAGTAACTTCTCTTCACTCCTTTTCTACTTCCCACATACAACCTACTTCCTTGGATTGCTAACCTTCTTTCTTTATAAATAAGTACTGTAGTTGATTATTTTATTTAACTGGTTATGGTGCTAATGTGAAGTTCTTTGGCCACAGTCTTATTTCATGCCATTATAAATACTACTGAGAAGCAGTGGGTGCACATTGAAACCCTACTAAACTCGGAAGCCCTTTACTAAGTTGTTACTTGCTAGGAGACTGTACTTGAATGTGTGGGTTTATAACTTCTTTCCTCTGTAGCTTCTCACACAGCTTTTTTCTCTTAGATCACTTTCTTCTCTTAAACCACTTTTAGGAACTCATTTTGCATTGGGATTTGTTTATGGAGTAAAAGTTTAGTGCCTTTGGCAAGTCCTTAATGGTCTCCTCACCTTATTATGCAAGAACCAAAAGAAAAGACCAACCACGTGGTCCTTCCAGCCCATCTGGGGTTTTTGTGACTCTCTCAACATGAAGCCAGTTAGTATCTCATTTAAATAAAGTCTTTCCATATGCTGTAGAAAGACTAATAGATGCTTGGGTTTGCATTTTCCTGAAAGAAATATGCAGCATTTCTTTAGCATACTTGATTGTACTTCAAGAGGTAGACATTTCATATATTTTCTAGTTGTAAAGGAAGATCGGCTTCAGTGCTTTGTTTTTATTTGGACATAGCCGATTGGAATATCACATGGATGAGTATCCACAGTTTGACTGTTATTTAAAGACATTATCATAAAGACATTATCAGCTATATCCTCAGACCTTTTCTTTTTTTTTATTTTATTTTATTTATTTATTCATAAGAGACAGAAAGAGGCAGAGGGAGAAGCAGGCTTCCCGCTGAGCAGGGAGCGCGATGCGGGACTCAATCCCAGGACCCTGGGATCATGACCTGAGCCGAAGGCAGACACTTAACCATCTGAGCCACTCAGGCACCCAGACCTTTTCTTTTAATAGAAGCAAGAAGGTTTATGATATTTTTGTTTTTAAAAGGCTGCCTTTTATCCATGTGAATCAAAAGACTCACTGAACAGTTCCCTTATTCTTTCCTGATTTGTTCCTCCCTATGATATCATCTTTGCCTTGCTATCCCTCATCAAATATCAGTTTAATGGTTTTTTAATTTGATTTTTATTTAGATTCTTATCCTTTTTTTTTTTTTTTTAAGATTTTATTTATTTATTTGACAGTGAGAGACACAGCGAGAGCAGGAACACAAGCAGGGAGGTGAGGGAGAAGCAGGCTTCCTGCAGAGCAGGGAGCCTGATGCGGGGCTCGATCCCAGGACCCAGGGATCATGACGTGAGCCGAAGGCATACGCTTAACTGACTGAGCCACCCAGGCGCCCCAAATTCTTATCCTTTTCTGATATTGAATCAAATTTCTAGTCTGCAGTCTTCAGTTAATCATTTGCTTTATAAGCTCATACTCATTGCCCTCTCAGTCATACTGCTTTCTTATTACTGCCGTTCCAGCCCATGTTCTTTACTCTAGGCAGGCAGCCTTGCTCACAGTCTGTGGCCTGTGACTCATCTTTCCATGTGCCATTCTTCCCACACCTGATGCCTTCCCTCCCTCCATTTTTGGCAGAGAAGTACCTTAGTGTAAGAAATAGGACTTTAGGGGCGCCTGGCTGGCTCAGTTGGTGGAGCATGCTACTCTTGATCTCAGGGTCATGAGTTCAAGCCACATGTTGGGCATAGAGCCTGCTTAAAAAAGAAAAAGAAAGAAAGAAAGAAATAGGACTTTAATTTCAAAGCTGTCTTATGCTACTGATTACAGTTGTCATGCTATGGAAAAGGCAGTGCTTAGACAGAAGTGGCCTAACTAAGAGTGCATGAAGGGAGAAGAGGTCTAAGTAAATTAGAGAGTATCTCCAGGTGAAGTCAGCCAATGTGGATAAGGGCACATGAGTCCAGAGTCTGGGGGGCAACATGTCAGGAAAGTTGGTGGACCTAAGTTCTGATCTGAATGCAGAGGTTTGTTTCTCCTTGCCCTATTTTCTGTTTCTTGCCCTGAGTACCTACACTAAGGTCCCAAGTCTGTTGGAAGATTCCAGGTGGAGCCTACTCCTGATTAAGGTAAAGCCAACATGCCTGGATTTCCTGGTAAATCTCAGCTGAAGACACACACATGCATGTGCATGTGTGCACACATACACGTATATCCACATGTAGGCATACACACATTGAGTTCTTTCTTCTGTGGGCCCAATAAGAATGCCAGAGGATGGTGAAAGGGGTTCTACAGATAGCCCAGCTTGCTTTGAAAACAAGACAAAGATGGAGGCTCTGTGTAGTGGAAAATTTGGGAAAGTCAACCCTGCATCTCAGACTCTTAGCTCTAGTACCTGTTTGGTCCTCACTTTGGAGCACTTCCCAAGAAGCCTCTGACTTTATTTTTAACTGAACCAAGGCCACAAGCATGCTGAATTAGTTTTATTCATCTGTTTAAACAATTCATAGTGTTATCCTTTGTATCCTCTGCAACTTAATAATCTTTTTGAAGATTTGAGAGACTACACTTGTCACTTGTGTGTGGGTTTAAGATTGATAAGTTAACTCCTTTAAAAATCCAGAGAGAACAAGCATCTTGCTCTCTGATACTTTTTCATCACTCTGTGGCAGTTTTAAACGGAGAGGAAAATAAACTTTTTATAAACAAACTATCTTAGGTTTCAGAGTGCATTCAGGAGTCCCCTTCTGACAATTTAGAAAGAAACTTTTTAGCAAATGTGTGACCTTTAACCTTTTTTTGCTTCAACTGTTTACTATTTCTTGGGGAATGTTTCATTTTGTCTTTAATACCATCACTTTATTACATTTCAATTTATAACAAATCAAAGAACCATTAATTAGTATGGCCCTCACCACATTTTATATCAGTAAAAAATTTCCAAATTTTTGAAGATTTATTTTTCTGTACTTTACATACTAATACATGTTGTCAAAGGAGAGTTTGTCTTCTCAGCCAGTCTCATTTATACCCCATCTCTAGAGATGTGAACAAATCATACGATTAAAATGGCCCCACCTCAGTAATTTATAAGCTAGGTTAGTGGAGGTGGATGAAAGCATTGGCATGTGTTAAAGTGCCAGAGAAAAAGGAGTGAAGTCATTTAATACTGCATCCATAACTTGGTTGTGGATTTGAATAGTCAATAGGACCTTTCATCACAACTAGAAGTAGTAGTAAAATCACTTTTTTTGGTAGAGGAAATGACAGAATTTAGTAATATTTGTTACTTCAGTATTTGGGATCAGTCCAGCCCGTTTTGAAAGCACAAGCTTAGGAAGACAGGCCTTCAAGTAGAAATCCTCAAGTGTTGTTTGAAGAGCTGAGAGGGTTGGTAAGGCCTGCTTGCCCTCTTCATGTCATTGCGGTTTAAAGGTATGTGTGTGTGTGCTGTGCTGGGTATTGAAAGTGAATAAAGCAAAGTGCTTTGTTTTTAGTGCCATCAGCCCCTTTGTCTGGAAATAGCTTTCTTTGTTGGTCAACATGTAACACTATAGGAACAGGCCTGGCAAAATTCAGGCACAGTATAATTAACATTGATTTAAAAAACCAGGTTTTGCCATGATTGTCAGTAAGTTTATAAGTACATTACATTAGAATTTGTATATAGTGCAGTAGTTTGCTTTTAGTTCCCAGAGCATAAAAAGTAGTAAATCAAAAATTACAATACTTTTACCTTACATTTATGGAGAGTTTTATAGTTTGACACATATATATATATCCACGTGACCCTCATTATCACCCTACAGAATGAAAGGTGCAGCTAATGTTAAATTAATTTGAAGACAGTATGGCTTTTGACATCTGTCACTCCAGTTAGGATCATGTATTCTGACAGGTGAGGCAGAGATTCCCTTACTTCCGTATGCTTCATTGTTCTATATACAGTTGACCCTTAAAACAACATGGATTTGAACCGTGCGGGTCCACTTAAATATGGAATTTTTTTTTTTTTTTTTTTGCTAAGGGCAGTATTATAAATGTATATTCTCTTTCTTACTACTTAATAACAATTTCTTTTCTCTAGCATATTATAAGAGTAAGTACACAGTATGTAATACATATACAGAATATGTGTTAATCAACTGGTTATGTTATTGGTAAGCCTTCCAGTCAACAGTAGGCAATTAGTAAGGTTTTGGGGAGTCAAAAGTTAAATGCAGTTTTCAACTGTGTGGGCAGTTAGCATCCCTAACCCTTATTCAATGGTCCACTGTATTTCCATCCTAAAAGTGCACAGAATCAAAGAAGATGACATTCCCAGATAGGAAAGAAACTGAATGTTCATTGAGCAGAGACAGCTGTTTTGCACATTATGATATTTCGATGAGTAAGCACAATGCTTGAAACACTATAAAGTCTCAAAAAAATGTTTAATGAATGTATGGTTATACACAGTTAAGACACTGAGATCTAGAAAAATTGTGACTTGCTTAAAATTGATGAATTGAGTCAACAAGTATTTGTTGTGCATCTACCATGTGCTATGTGTTTTGAGTTAGGTCTCAGCTGAGAGAGCAGTGAATAAGACACACAAGATCCCTGCCTCATAAATAAGCCAGGTACAAAAACACAAATATTGTATGGTTCCGCTTATATGAATTATCTGGACTAGGCAAATGCATAGAGACAGAAAGTAGATTAGAGGTTACTGGGAGCTGGGAAAGGGGGAAACGGGAGAGTTATTACTTAACTCTGTTACAGTTTCTGTTTGGGGTGATGAAAAAATTTTGGAAGAAGATAGCGTTGATGGTTCCATAACACTGTGAATGTAATGATGATGCCACTGAATTATACACTTAAAAATAGTTTAAAAATGGCCAAAGTGACATATTTTATGCAATATGGGCGCCTGGGTGGCTCAGTCGTTAAGCGTCTGGCTTCGGCTCAGGTCATGATCCCAGGGTCCTGGGATCGAGTCCCGCATCGGGCTCCCTGCTCGGCAGGAAGCC